AATAATAATAATAATAATAATAATAATAATAATTTTGCAACAATGTCCTTTGGACAGACAAGACCAAAGTGGAGATCTTTGGCCACTGTGTAAAGTGCTGCATTTGGCAAAAACCAAACACCGCATATCAGCCCACCTCATACCAACTTTCGTAGTGGAGGGGTGATGATTTGGGCTTGTTCTGCAGCCATAGGAACTAAGTATCTTGCAGTCATTGTGAATCAACCATGAATTCCTCTGTCTATCAAAGTATTCTAGAGTCAAATGTGAGGCCATTTGTCCAACAGCTAAAGCTTGGCTGAAATTGGTTCATACAACAGGACAATGATCCCAACCACACAAGCAAATCTACAACAGAATGGCTGAAAAAGAAAAGAATCAAGGTGTTGCAATGGCCCAGTCAAAGTCCAGACCTAAAACCGATTGAAATGCTGTGGTTGGACCTTAGAAGAACTGTGCGTAAACAAATGCCTGCAAACCTCAATGAACATATTGAAATGCTGTGGTTGGACATTAGAAGAACTGTGCATAAACAAATGCCTGTAGACCTCAATGAACAGAAGCAGTGTTGTAAAGAAGAGTGGGCCAAAATTCCTCTGAAATGATGTGAGAGGCAAAGTCATACAGAAAACACTTACTTCATGTTATTGCTGCTAAAGGTGGTTCTACGAGCTATTAAATCATAAGATGTACTTAGTTTTTCACACATGGCTTCTCCATGTTGGCTTTATTTTCGTAAAATAAATCATGACATGGTGGAATATTTCATGTATTTTTGTTCAACTGAAGTTGTATTTACTTAATTTCCAGACCTTCCAGACCTTGTACTAAGGACCAGTTGGTTTTTATTATGTCCTGATATGTAAAACCACAGAATTCAAAGAGGGTGTACTTTCTTTTTCTCATGACTGTACTTACCGTTCCTCCCAGTGCATATAAGACTATGTCAGGGTCATGGTAGATGATGGAGCCCAAATGACATAATGATTTATTTGTGGGAGACAATGCATATACAGCAGTATTCACATTTGTCTAGGGTTTGATGTTCAAGATTAGCATGAACATCTTGATAGGCTCGTCCTTCTGTTTGTTCCCTAGGTGTTAAGCCATTTGTCACCTACTGGAAAAATCAGTGATGAAAACATCCGGAGCCTCTTCTTTGGAGACTACTTTAAACCCTCCAGTGATGTAAAAATCTATGACGAAATCACAGATTTAAAGAAACTGACATCTGTCATGGAATACTATCTGGAGGAGTTCAACAACATCAGCAAGGCACCAATGTCTCTGGTCATGTTTAAATTTGCTATTGAGCACATCTCAAGGATCTGCCGAGTGCTCAAGCAGGATAATGGCCACCTGTTGCTGGTGGGCATTGGTGGGAGTGGCCGACAGAGTGCCACCAAACTAGGCACCTTCATGAATGTCTACGAGCTCTTCATGATTGAAATCACAAAGTTTTATACCACAAATGACTGGAGAGAAGATCTAAAGAAAGTTATGCTGCAGTCTGGAGTTGCCAATAAAAGCACTGTCTTCTTATTTTGCGATAACCAGATCAAAGATGAGTCATTTGTTGAGGACATCAACATGTTGTTGAACACGGGTGATGTGCCTAACATATTTGCAGCTGATGAGAAGGCTGACATTGTTGAAAAAATGCAGAGTGCAGCAAGGACTGAAGGCAGGAGGATTGAAGCCACTCCTTTGGCCATGTACAACTTTTTTATTGAACGTGTGAGGAAGAATCTACATATAGTGTTAGGTATGTATAAATCATGTTCAACATGCATTTATATTTCTGATAATTCTGACTGCTCATGATGGGATGCTAACCTCAAAACCATATGAAGAGCACTTGAGTTATGGGAAGGCTGTACTAACAATGACTGAATGTATTTAGGAAATGAACATTCTATGTTTTTCAGCAATGAGTCCCATAGGAGATGCATTCCGGAATCGCTTACGAATGTTCCCTTCACTGATCAATTGCTGCACTATTGATTGGTTCCAGCGATGGCCCACAGATGCTCTGGAAATGGTTGCAAACAAATTTTTAGAGGATGTGAAACTGGAAGATGAAGTCAGAAAATCGTACGTCTAGACTCACCTCTCTCTCTCTCTCTCATACATGCATGCATGCATGCATGCATACATACATACATACATACACACACACACATACATACACGCATGCATACACACATACACACATACATACACGCATGCATACATGCATGCATGCATGCATGCATTAGATTTCTAGCATGATCTGAAGAATAAAATTGCTTACAAGTGGATGGCAAGATGGTTTCAAATACAAAGTGAATCAAACAGTTTTTAAAAAAAAACAGAGCTTGGCAATTTTCATGGTTAACTTTTGGTATTTTAGTGCTAATTTAGACTGACTTTTTTGGGCTGTTCCAAATGAAGCTAAAGTTCTACACTGCCACCTCTTTGCTTGTTCATGATGAAAGAGCCATAGGTTTTCATTGAAGCATCCCTTTTAAAAAGCACAATGTTAAAGAAATCTTTTAAAAAATATTTAAGAAATCCATTGCTGTCCTGGAGCTTCTCTTTTGAAGCTGTCTAGCTCTTTTTCAAATGATGATAAAAAGCTTCCAACTGGGAGGCTCTCACTAGACATTAACTTGAAATAGGAAGTGCTAAATTGCACCTGCCAGAAGAAAATGACACTAAAAATAAACCATGCTTTCTAAAAGGAATGGAGAAGGAAAAATTGCTGGACTAAGTGTGATGATCTTGTATGGATGGCAGAAAAACTGGTGACATCAGTACAGAGTTTGGTACATTAAGGAGAACAAGTTATCTGTTTGGGACAGTTCTAAGCTCCTTGGCAGGGTAAGGCCCTGGATGCTAGTGTATAACTTCTACTATCAGAGGGAGTATTCCGCTCAGGCACAGATGCTGGGGAACTTGAGCAGGAGGGTCCTGTTCACGTGTATCCTGCTTGAGGACTTGCACTGGGGGTGGTTTTGGCCAGTGTGGGAACAGTATGGTGGGCTCGGCATGCCTTTGGTTTGATTTATTGTGACTTTTCATATCTTCTTGATAGAACTATAGCTTGCAGAATTGATTTAGCAGATTCTTGATTAACCCAGTTCAGTTGTCCCCAAAGAATAATAAATGATTGCTGCTGTACTGCATCTGTTCCTGGGGAAAATATTACAAGGGCAGTTTTGGCAATCAATGCAAAGAGCCATTCAATGTATTCACAAAGGATCTAATGGTTGTTGTGGGTGTGCAAAGAGCCGTTCAATGTATTCGCGAAGGCTTTCACAGCCGGGATCTAATGGTTGTTGTGGGTTTTTCAGGCTCTTTGGCCGTGTTCTGAAAGTTGTTTTTCCTAACATTTCGCCAGAGCACAGAGTGCTATCCTCTGAAGATGCCGGCCAGAGAGACTGGTGAAATGTTAGGAAGAACAACCTTCAGAACAAGGCCAAAGAGCCCGAAAAACCCACAACGACCAATGCAAAGAGCATTTGCAGGATGAGAACCGATGGCGGGGAGCATTTGCTCAAGCATTTGCAGGATGAGAACCGATGGCGGGCCATCAGCATAACAGCTCTTTTGATATCGTTCTTATCACATGTTACAGAATCAGTTATGGTATGGCGCAGACTACCTTTGGAGAGTTAATCCTGAGCCAAAGTGGCTATTCTGAAACTCTCTTGAACGTTATGCAACTCTTGCTCTGATATATTGGATTCTTTGAGCTTTTTAATAACATGGAAGGGAAATGATAGATAACTCAGTGGTTTAGGTATCTGGCTGTGGAGGCAGAGACTAGGAGTTTGATTCCCCCGCTGTGCCTCCAGACAGGGCTGTGCTCTATGATCCATAGGGTCTTTTCTAACTCTGCAATTCTGAGATGATGATACTCCCTTCCCCCCACAGAGTTGTGACCATGTGCAAATATTTCCAAGAAAGTGTGAGAGAGCTCTCAGCCAGCTATTATAATATTCTTCGAAGGTACAATTATGTCACACCAACATCTTACCTAGAGTTGATATTAACCTTTAAAGCGTTGCTAAATAGCAAGAGGCATGAAGTTGATATGATGAGAAATCGCTATCTTGTGGGCCTTCAGAAGCTTGATTTTGCAGCCTCACAAGTAAGTATGGCCTAGAAAAAGTAGGCATGTGAATATATGTAACAGTTTTCATAACAAGTATTATGCATAATATGTAACCTATGTGTACCATGTGAATACAGTATATGTAACAGTTTTCATAACATGTATTATGCATAATATGTAACCTATGTGTAACAGTTTCACACATCATGATAAGCCAGAATTTCTGGTATGCCCTGATTTACTATGAACAAGTATCATGTAGGTGCATGCAACCTGTTTGCTTCCATTCTGTTTGGGGCAACTTTATACCTGCTTTTCCACACATACCCCATCTAGTGCATTCCAGAAATGTAGAACTGCAGCTTCCATCATTGTCCTCCAGCACGGTCCTCCCCAGTCAACGTGGACATCTGATCTGGGAGTTGGTATTGCATTGCATGGAATGCTAAATGTTGTTGTTTAGTCATTTAGTCATGTCCGACTCTTCGTGACCCCATGGACCAGAGCACGCCAGGCCCTCCTATCTTCCACTGCCTCCCGGAGTTGTGTCAAATTCATGTTGGTTG